GATAAGAGAGGCCTGTAATTGGCATCATAGGTAGACCTCAACTATGAGAGACAAAATGAGAAAAAAAATTCAGACAATCACATTGGCTGATTTGGAAAGAATTTATTTGCAAATTATGGTGGAAAATAAGTATTTGGTCACCTACAAACAAGCAAGATTTCTGGCTCTCACAGACCTGTACCTTCTTCTTTAAGAGGCTCCTCTGTCCTGCACTCATTACCTGTATCAATGGCACCTGTTTGAACTTGTTATCAGTATAAAAGACACCTGTCCACAACCTCAAACAGTCACACTCCAAACTCCACTATGGTGAAAACCAAAGAGCTGTCGAAGGACACCAGAAACAAAATTGTAGACCTGCACCAGGCTGGGAAGACTGAATCTGCAATAGGCAAGCAGCTTGGTGTGAACAAATCAACTGTGGGAGCAATAATTAGAAAATGCAAGACATACAAGACCACTGATAATCTCCCTCGATCTGGGGCTCCACGCAAGATCTCACCCCGTGGGGTCAAAATGATCACAAGAACGGTGAGCAAAAATCCCAGGACCACACGGGGGGACCTACTGAATGACCTGCAGAGAGCTGAGACCAATGTAACAAAGGCTACCATCAGTAACACACTATGCCGCCAGGGACTCAGATCCTGCAGTGCCAGACGTGTCCCCCTGCATAAGCCAGTACATGTCCGGGCCCGTCTGAAGTTTGCTAGAGAGCATTTGGATGATCCAGAAGAGGATTGGGAGAATGTCATATGGTCAGATGAAACCAAAATAGAACTATTTGGTAGAAGAAATACAACTCGTCGTGTTTGGAGGAGAGAAAATGCTGAGTTGTGTTTGGAGGAGAGAGAATGCTGAGTTGCATCCAAAGAACACCATACCTACTGTGAAGCATGGGGGTGGCAACATTATGCTTTGGGGCTGTTTCTCAGCAAAGGGACCAGGACAACTGATCCATGTACAGGACAGAATGAATGGGGCCATGTATCGTGAGATTTTGAGTGCAAACCTCCTTCCATCAGCAAGGGCATTGAAGATGAAACGTGGCTGGTTCTTCCAACATGACAATGATCCCAAACATACCGCCCGGGCAACGAAGGAGTGGCTTCGTAAGAAGCATTTCAAGGTCCTGGAGTGGCCTAGCCAGTCTCCAGATCTCGACCCCATAAAAAAACCTTTGGAGGGAGTTGAAAGTCCGTGTTGCCCAGTGACAGCCCCAAAACATCACTGCTCTAGAGGAGATCTGCATGGAGGAATGGGCCAACATACCAGCAATAGTGTGTTCCAACCTTGTGAAGACTTACAGGAAAAACACTGACCTCTGTCATTGCCAACAAAGGATATATAACAAAGTATTGAGATGAACTTTTCATATTGACCAAATACTTATTTTCCACCATAATTTGCAAATAAATTCTTTCCAAATCAGCCAATGTGATTGTCTGAATTTTTTTTCTCATTTTGTCTCTCATAGCTATGATGCCACTTACAGGCCTCTCTCATCTTTTTAAGTGGGAGAACTTGCACAATTGGTGGCTGACTAAATACTTTTTTGCCCCACTGTACATCATACTTTGAGGTTTCGCATGAAAGAAAATATGTTAGACACTGCTGCAATAATTTCTGCACAGAAATGAGCTGAAACACATCCAAACACCACAAAAAAAAAAAAGACAGCTAATCTCAACAAATACTGCTCTCTCTGCTTCTGCTCTCTCTATTTCTCTCAAAATGTCTGAAATAGTTAATTTTTTACTGTTTTTCAGTGCATTCTGGGCATTTTGGAAGGTCTCCTGAGGTTATCTTAAAAAACGCTTCTAAACGCAAACGCTCATAAACGTGCATAAACGTGGCTAAACAGACTTTTTTTAACCTACGTTTTCCAGCAGTCAGTTTCCATCATTCAGAAGTGTTTTCCAAACGTCCTGTGTACATGGAGCCTAAGTGTGAACAAAGCAGAAATCTCTCCAGTCAGTGGGGACATGTTGGTTTTTATCGCTGCAAAGCAGGAAGATAAAAACCAGCCTGTCCCCTATTAAAACACTGCACAGTACACAGTTTAATCACTCCCTAACACACGGTTAACCCTTTGATTGCCCCGGGTGTTAACCCCTTCCTGCCACGTCATTAGTACAGTGTCAGTGTTTTTTTATTACAAACAGAAAATTGATGTTGCACTGATTACAATAATGCCACAAACATTCCAAAACAAATAATGAGATGAGAAGACAATAGATATTACACCATAACATAATCAGTAAATGGAAGGAATATGGGAGTGAAGGGAAAGATGAAATAATAAAGGTTCAAAATGAGGACCAAAAGGTCTAACAGATAATAAACCATGACTGTGGGCAAGACACACGGAAATGATCAGGGAAAAATAAAATATTAACTAAATCACAGTAATAGTGGGACATATGAGTCCGTCATAACATAAATGAAATAACGTGAATACAACTGATGAGAAAGTGGAGCAAAATGTGAAAAATACAAAATGAAGTGCTTAAATATTAAAAGTGGACAAACCACTTATCACAGAAGAATGACAATAACAATGCACAGTGAGGCCAAAAAATGTGACCAGGCGACTAAAGGGGTCATAACACAATGTGCATCAAAAGGCCGTGTGATATAAAACAACTGATAAGTGACCATACAAATACCATAAATAAATGTGGCAAACATATATAGAGTGCAACTAGTATAAAACAGAAAATGGTGATACAAACGCACAGTGAAACTGTGCACCATAGAACACAATAACACAATGAAGAAATAAATAACATGTGACTAAAAAAATATCATAAATGCAACATAAATTCCATGTGCAAAAAACGTCCAACAAAAACGCATCCAAAAAAAAAAAGTGGATAGGTAAGTTATTAGTGAATCCCACACCAGCCAAAATGCCTCCTCACCTCCGCGCTCAGACCCCAAGGGGCCAAAAGGCTTTCAGGAAACTCAGTGCAGGGGCCCTTTAAGTGGAATCCCAAATGGCGGTGTAGGTATGACATCCCCCTCACCGGTGGACCATACTGTGGTAATATATCTTTCACCTTTGTATACTGAAATCAGCCAGCGCACAGAACTCCTGCCAGGGGTTCATTGGACCAGAAAAAACAGTCAGCTCACAGCAATCCCAGGGAAACAAGAAAAAGTGCTTCCACAGTGTAATATTGTAAATGACTAGTTGCACTCTATATATGTTTGCCACATTTATTTATGGTATTTATATGGTCACTTATTAGTCGTTTTATGTCACATGGCCTTTTGATGCACATTGTGTTATGACCCTTTAGTCATATGGTCACATTTTTTGCCTTCACTGTTGTTATTGTCATTCTTCAGTGATAACTGGTTTGTCCACTTAAGCACTTCATTTTGTCTTTTTCACATTTTGCTCCACTTTCTCATCAGTTGTATTTACGTTATTTCATTTATGTTATGACGGACTCATATGTCCCACTAGTACTGTGATTTAGTTAATATTTTATTTTTCCCTGATCATTTCCGTGCGTTTTGCCAACGTTCACGATTTATTATCTGTTACAGCTTTTGGTCCTCATTTTGGACCTTTATTATTTCACCTTTCCCTTCACTCCCATATTCCTTCCATTTACTGAATATGTTATGCTGTACTATCTATTGTCTTCTCATCTCATTATTTGTTTTGGAATGTATGTGGCATTATTGTAATTAGCTCAACATCAATTTTCTGTTTGTTGTTTTTTTGCTAGTGGTATAGCCAGGAGTGTGCTGCTGTCCATCTTTTCTAGTAGCAGCGCAAAAGTTTTTTACATATTTTTTGCATTCTTTACCCGTTTTTTTATTAGCACTGATCACTGTTTTAGTGTCGCTGGAGATGTCAGTGGCAATTAGTCAGTTCCCCCTAGTGTCAGTTAGTGTCAGAATGCCCACTGTACATTGCAGTCCTATATACGTTGCTGATTGTTGCCATTACTAGTAAAAAATAAAAAAAAATAAAATAAAAATTCCAGTATATATACCGCCATAACTTTCAAGCAAACCAATTAATATACACTTATTGGGATTTTTTTTTTACCAAAAACATGTAGCAGAATACATTTTTTACCTAAATTTATTAAGAAATTTAATTTTTTAAAATTATTTTATTCAATATGTTTTATAGCAAAATGTAAAAAAAAAATTTTTTTAAAATTTTTGGTCTTTTTTCATTTATAGTGCAAACAATGTAAAAACCCAGTGATGATCAAATACCACCAAAAGCTCTATTTGTGTGAAAAAATGATTGAATAAAATTAATTTGTGTACAGTGTTCGCAGGGCTTGCATTTGTCAAAGTAGCGCAGCGCCCTACAGCACATCATTGACCTGGGTCATGAAGGGAGGTAAATCTTCCAGAGGGCAAGAGGTTAATATTAGTTCTATTAGCCCATTTTATCATGCATATCAAAAATAATACACTTCTTCCCCAGCATCTAAAAGGTTAAACCCTCAGTGTTCCCTGCAGGCAGTTGTTTGTACAGGACACAGCCACTAAACCCTCCATATAATACAGCATCCCACTGACTCAGCATAGAAATCATCACAGCACACCGCCACTAAGCCCTCCATACAATACAGCACCTCGCTAACTCAGTATAGCAATCTAATGACAGCGTCACTATATGCTGCAAACGTCCGTCCTTAGCCCCTCCCTTTTCCGCCCACACACTCTGCCTCCATCCCTATTGCCTCTGACATCACTTCCCACCCTAATTCCCCGACGGCCATCTCTAATCCTGGCAAGATCGTACCTCGTGAAGATGACTTTAGAGATAATGTGATAATAAAACTAATACATAACCGACATAGGAATATCGAAATGAAAACAGATTGTAAACACGGGTTAGAAATGACAGCCTGCCCGGTCATTTGACTGACTTCCTGTTGATGTGAAGAAGCAGAGAAGTGTCATGAGGCTTGTGTGCCTGGGGAAGTGTAGTGATCGGTTCTCCTGGAGGTGTATGTGACATGATGACACGGGTGGCGCTAGCCTTGGCCCTGATCGGGGTGTCAGTGTGTGGTGTGGTCGGGCTTCAGCTGTGGCCAGTACCATACAGGTAAGTCAACTACATAGTGGAGTGGGCTTCTGTCATCTATGATGTACTGGCAGGAAACAGGAAGAATGAAGCACACTAACAACCTATAGGTTCTTATTGCCTAGTAGACACTGGAATCAATAGGAACCTGTATAGCAGGGGTCTCCAAACTGTGGCCCTTTGCTAGCCTTTATCCTGCCCTTAGGGCACTATCCCTCCTTCTGACTCCTCTGATCCCTTCTGACTCCAACGATGGGGCACTATCCCTCCTTCTGACTCCAATGATGGGGCACTATCCTCCTTCTGACTCCAACAATGGGCCACTATCCCTCCCTTCTGACTCCAACGATGGGGACACTATCCCTCCTTCACTGACTACCAACGATGGGGCACTATCCCTCCCTCTGACTCCAACATTGGGACACTATCCCTCCCTCTGACACCAACATTGGGACACTATCCCTCCCACTGACACCAACATTGGGACACTATCCCCTCCCACTGATACCAACATGGGCACTATCCTCCCACTGATACCAACGATGGGGCACTATCCCTCCTTCTGACTCCAATGATGGGGCACTATCCCTCCCTCTGACACCAACATTGGGACACTATCCCTCCCTCTGACACCAACAATGGGACACTATCCCTCCCACTGATACCAACAATGGGGCACTATCCCTCCCACTGATACCAACGATGGGGCACTATTCCTCTTACTGATACCAACGGTGTGGCACTTTTCCTCCCACTGATACCAACGATGGGGCACTATTCCTCCCACTGATACCAACGATGGGGCACTATTCCTCCCACTGACACCAACGATGGGGCACTATTCCTCCCACTGACACCAACGATGGGGCACTATTCCTCCCACTGACACCAACATTGGGACACTATCCCTCCCTCTGACACCAACAATGGGACACTATCCCTCCCACTGATACCAACATTGAGGCACTATTCCTCCCACTGATACCAACGATGGGGCACTATTCCTCTTACTGATACCAACGGTGTGGCACTATTCCTCCACTGATACCAACGATGGGGCACTATTCCTCTTACTGATACCAACGATGGGGCACTATTCCTCTTGCTGACAACGATGGGGCACCATTCCTCCCACTGATTCCACAAAGATTGGGGCACTATTTCTACTGATACCAATGATGGGGCACTATTCCTCCCACTGTCACAACGATGGGGCACTATTCCTCCCACTGACACCAATGATGGGGCACTATTCCTCCCACTGATACCAACGATGGGGCACCATTCCTCCCACTGATTCCACAAAGGATGGGGCACTATTCCCCCACTGATACCAATGATGGGACACTATTCCCCCCACTGATACTAATAATGGGGCACTATTCCTCCCACTGATCCACAACGATGGGGCACTATTCCCCACTGATACCAACGATGGGGACACTATTCCCTCCACTGATACAACGAATGGGGCACTATTCCTCCCACTGATACCAACGATGGGACACTATTCCTTCCACTGACACCAATGATGGGGCACTATTCCTCCCACTGATACCAACGATGGGGCACTATTCCTCTCACTGATACCAATGATGGGGCACTATTCCTCCCACTGACACCAATGATGGGGCACTATTCCTCCCATTGATACCAATGATGGGGCACTATTCCTCTCACTGATACCAATGATGGGGCACTATTCCTCCCACTGTCACCAATGATGGGGCACTATTCCTCCCACTGTCACCAACGATGGGGCACTATTCTTTCCACTGACACCAACGATGGGCACACTATTCCTCCCACTGACACCAACAATGGGGCACTATTCCTCCCACTGACACCAAAGTTGAGGCACTATTCCTTCCGCTAATACTAAATATTCCAAGACAATTTCTACTCCCAATGGCCAAATTCCCGACCCCCTTAAGTCTGAAGGACAGTAAACTGGATCTTTGTTTAGAAATTTTGAAGACCCCTGTTTTGCAGTAATCTTTTCATTTCCTTTATATATGCAGGCGATTTGACTATCGTCCTAAGACAGATCCCTACTGTCAAGCCCAATATACATTTTGCCCTACTGGATATGCAGATGGCTCTATTCCCTTGATGAAGGATGAAGACACCATTGAAATTTTTCGACTACAAGCACCAGTTTGGGAATTCAAGTATGGAGATCTTCTCGGTCATTTTGTAGGTGTACTTTGTTTTTGTTTTTTTTTAAACATTAGAGACACAGAGACAAAAATAGACACTTGTGTTTGTAAACAAAATTCAGTTAATTACATTTTCTTTGCTAGAAATGTATTAAGAATTTTGTAATGTAATAAAGTTTCTGCTTTCCTTCTGCTGACTGTGGAGGCAAATCCTTTAGTGCTGGATCATACTCGAATCGCACAGAAACCTGATTGGCATTCCTGTGCGATTCAGTGTGATGCAATTTTCAGCCCATTCAATTGGATGGGCTGAATTCGCATTGGATCGCACCAAAGGTAATGCATGCACTACTTTTAAAAACGCACTGCAACTGGAACTCATGGTACCGCAGTACCCTGTGATCTGGTGCATGCAAACGCTCTGCATTTGCAGTCTGTGTTTGGGGAGTGGTTAGGAATCCATTGACACTTGCAGCAGATCACACACCCAATGTGTTTGGAATGCGGTTCAGGAAACGTGCACTGAACACAGGTTTCTGAACCACGTGCCAGTGTGTACAGGCACTTAGGCTTTAGGCACTGCGGCAATCTTCAGTTACGCAATCCCTGTACTTAAATTCACCTGCAGGTAGTCACAACTTCAGCAATCTGTGGTTAATATTTGGCCTCTTTGACCAGTGTAGTCATCACTAAAGAATAAGTGTTGTCATGCTTATTTGAGATTATTTGTGCACAATGGTGTAATGCTTCTCAGTAAATTATGGGTCAACATGGCATGATGGTTTAACAAATGGACAGCACAGTGGCTATGTGGTTAGCACTTCTGCCTAGCAGTATTAGGGTCATCTGTTCAAATCCCAACCATGACACTACCTGCCTGGAGTTTGCATGTTCTCCCTGTGCCTGCATGGGTTTCCTCCAGGTACTTTAGTTTCCTCCCACACTCCAAAGAGATGCTGGTAGGTTTATTGGATCCTGTCTAAATTGGCCCTAGTATGTGTGACTGTGAGTTAAAGCGCTTTGGAAATTGATGTCACTATATAAGTACCTGTAATAAACAAATAATGTAGTACAGAGTCTATACATGGCACAGGAACTCATTCATAATGGACACCCATCCTTATAAGATACCTATATATATTCTTCATTCTAGGCTAGAGATGTCTATGTAGGCTAGCTAAAGTGTGGCCAGGATGGTTGTTTCAGCTCTCTGTGCTGTGTTCTAGTGCATGGTCCAGTGATTCCACTCATTATAGCACTGCCAAGAGTCTTTCATTTTGACTGTAGCAGTTGACACTCAGAAATAAATTTTAGCATGGAAATGGATTGCTGTAAATTTTAAATATAGACTAGTTATACACTACGTACTTCAAAACACAAGGGTAGTCCCCAGCATCCTGCTAGACAGACCTACCAATTCTTCTAGCCTAACTTATAAAATGCCACAGTCTAGGCGGCAGGTAAACTCCATCCCTGCACCCAAAGGGGCTGTTTGTCACAACACATTGCTTCTGCAGACAGTCCGGGTTTATAAATTTGTTCTTTTGTCCAAATTACGTATGCAAAGCCATTATCGTTTCTATCCATTTTTTGTAGAAAATTATGCATGATGCCATTGGATTCAAGAGCTCATTGACTGGGAAAAATTACACTGCAGAATGGTATGAGCTTTTTCAGCTTGGAAATTGTACATTCCCTCACCTTCGGCCTGATGTAGAGGAACCTTTCTGGTGTAATCAAGGAGCAGCCTGCTTCTTTGAAGGAATAGATGATGAACACTGGAGGAGCTATGGAACTTTAGTTCCAGTAGCAACAATCTCAGGTAAACACAAATGTTAACCAAAGGCTCACTAGCTTTCTATGTAAAAACTGCAGGTAGAGGATTGAGGATGTCATTACAGCAATCATTCAGACATCTCCTTCATGTTCTAGACTAGTCAAGGAAAATGATAACTGAAATCTGATTGTTTGCTTTGTTTAGCTCTAATTTCCTGCAGTCATTTTATACCACATGACAAGGTTACTCAAAGCACGGTCTCTAGTGTTTCACCATAAGTTTGCAGTGTTTACAGTGCAATTGCAGAAATGTTATCTAGCTGATGCATACTGTATGTTTTTGCTTGCCTTTTTAGTAATGTGTGACTTGTAGGCACATGGAGAACCTCCTGTGTTTCTAGTGTGCGTCACTCTTTTTTTTTTTTTTTCAATACAATTCACAAAAATCCTGTACACACCTTGACACTGCAGCCATTCTGAACAGTCATTGGTTAGTGGGAGAACAAAATGCCCCAGTGACAGTGGTCAGTGGGGGTAATAAATGGCCCTGGGTGAGTGGGAGTAATAATGCCCATGGGTCAAAGGGAGGAATAGTGCCCAAGTGTCTGTGGTCATTGGGAGTGTCAGGGTCGGACTATACAAAGGATATACCATCAGGAAGGATATCAGTCCGCCGTGCCTGTTACAATTCCAGGTGCTGGTGTGCTCTGGATTTTAGTTCCCGGCACCCACTCCCAGGTTGTTCATAATCAAAGACACTGCAACACTACACACCACAGGCATGCATTGTGGTAATATGTGGCAAATATGTGTTGCTGTAACATGACTATTTGAATGGGTCCTATAAAATCAGTAAAAAACTAATAATTGTAGAGTTCCCAGATGTAGCATTAGAAACCAGCAGGTCAGCCAAATGTTACTTGCAGATGCCTACACTTCCCAAGCCTGAATTAAAGCCCTTCTCCAGGCAAAAAAAGTTTTCCCATGCAGTGGGTCTGTGCCTGCTCTTCACGGGTCAACTGCTCATTCTTTCTAGGGGTGAGGAGAGAGCTTATACTCACCCAATCCTTCGTTCCACTGGAGTACAGTGCTCCCCAATTGTCCAGCGATGGACTGTTCTTGGTCTATGCAGCCTGCTTTGAGCTTGATGACATCAGGAACAGTCCGCAACCCAAGACTGCGGGGGTGCTTTATCGGTCTTTTGCTGGGAGGATCGGAGGATTAGGTAAGTAAATCTACTTTATCCTTTCCCCTAGACAGAAATGAACAGTTAACCTGTGCAGTGTGGGCACAGCCCCACTGCATGGTAAAACTGTTTTTTTGCCCAGAGATGCTCTGGGCTTGATGACGTCAGGAACAGTCCACAACTCAAGACTGCTGGAGTACAGGGGTGCTGAACCAGTCTTGTGCTGGCAGGATCGGAGGATTAAGTAAGTAAATCTATTTTAAATGAGCAGTTAACCTGTGCAGAGCTGGCACTGCCCCACTATGGTAAAACTGTTTTCTTGCCCAGAGATGCTCTGGGCTTGATGATGTCAGGAACAGTCCACAATTCAAGACTGCTGGAGTGCAGGGGTGCTGGAATGGTCTTGTGCTGGCAGGATCAGAGGATTAGGTAAGTAAATCTACTTTAAATGAGCAGTTAACCTGTGCAGAGCTGGCACAGCCCCACTGTATGGTAAAACTATTTTCTTGCCCAGAGATGCTCTGGGCTTGATGATGTCAGGAACAGTCCAAAATTCAAGACTGCTGGAGTGCAGGGGAGCTGGACTGGTCTTGTGCTGGCAGGATCAGAGGATTAGGTAAGTAACTCTACTTTATATGAGCAGTTAACCTGTCCAGTGCAGGCACAGCCCCACTGCATGGTAACATTTGTTTTTTAAATCAGTGTATAACCTCCTACACCCCAAAATTCCTCAAAAAGTCATACTTTCTCCCTAGAAAGTGCAGCAATCATATATTATAACCTTTTTGTGGTAGAAAATAAAAAAACTAATATTCAAATAAATATATCATATATACTCAATAATAATAATATACTCAAAACATATAAAAAATTTTCAAAAAATAATTGAAAAGAAAAAATAGTCCAAAAAAAACAGTGTCCCAATAAAAAAACAGTGTCCAAAAAAAGGTCCCAAATTTTCCAACTTTATGATCCAATAGGAAAGAATCCTATTTCATCCCGTGATACCTCAAAGAAAAAATAGATACTCTAGTGCATTACTTTTAAAACAATTATATTCACTCAGTGAAGAACGCAAAAATTGTGCAAAAAACTATATATATATATCTCGTGCACATATGAATAAACTGTGACCACTCCGTGAACACTGCAACACTGTGAATCCACCGACACCAATAGTATTACATACTATTACCCTCTGTATTTATATAATCAGCATTCAATCAGAGATCTTCTATTTCCTCTCCAAAGAAAGTTTCCAAGGTCCTCAAAAGACAAGAAGGGTCTCAAGACTCATGTTCAAGGTATAGGTAAAAGATTTAATAGCAACTTACATTAAAATTCCACATATCCAGCTCCAAACATGGCTCCTATGCGAGTTCTGCCAAACAAATGCAGTAAGCCATGTGTGAACAACCAAAAAAATGGCCGCGGCGACACTTCCGGTCTGCGTACGTGCGTCTCAACGTCACACCCTTTAGGGGTGTGACGTTGAGACGCACGTACGCAGACCGGAAGTGTCGCCGCGGCCATTTTTTTGGTTGTTCACACATGGCTTACTGCATTTGTTTGGCAGAACTCGCATAGGAGCCATGTTTGGAGCTGGATATGTGGAATTTTAATGTAAGTTGCTATTAAATCTTTTACCTATACCTTGAACATGAGTCTTGAGACCCTTCTTGTCTTTTGAGGACCTTGGAAACTTTCTTTGGAGAGGAAATAGAAGATCTCTGATTGAATGCTGATTATATAAATACAGAGGGTAATAGTATGTAATACTATTGGTGTCGGTGGATTCACAGTGTTGCAGTGTTCACGGAGTGGTCACAGTTTATTCATATGTGCACGAGATATATATATATAGTTTTTTGCACAATTTTTGCGTTCTTCACTGAGTGAATATAATTGTTTTAAAAGTAATGCACTAGAGTATCTATTTTTTCTTTGAGGTATCACGGGATGAAATAGGATTCTTTCCTATTGGATCATAAAGTTGGAAAATTTGGGACCTTTTTTTGAACACTGTTTTTTTATTGGGACACTGTTTTTTTTGGACTATTTTTTCTTTTCAATTATTTTTTGAAAATTTTTTATATGTTTTGAGTATATTATTATTATTGAGTATATATGATATATTTATTTGAATATTTTTTTTTTTATTTTCTACCACAAAAAGGTTATATAATATATAACATTTGTTTTTTGCCCAGAGAAGTCTTTAACTGTTTTACGTGTTTAGCAGATGAAGATCTGATTTAGCATACGTTTCATGTATTATACCTCAGTTTATTTCTGGTTAATATAATAGGTTCCATGTTTAATCAGCTGGCAAAATGGATAAAAGAAGATAACAACACTGGCATTTACTATGAGACATGGACCGTGAAGGATTCAATGGCACCTAACTCAACTTTGTGGTTTGATTCTTATGACTGCAGCAAATTTGTGCTTCGAGTGTACCAGAAGTTATCAGAGCTCGGAGCCACCTTCAAGAAGAGCATTGAGACAAAGTATACTCGCTTGTTCTTGTATAGTGGCGAGCCTGTGTACCTGGGGAATGCAAGCACCATTTTCGGCCCACATGGGAACAAGTCACTAGCAGCAGAGATTCACAAGTTTTATTTCCCTTACAGACCACATCAATCATTTAAAGACCTTCTTTTAAGCATCCTTGAAATTTATGGGAAATCTGTGTTACAAAAGACATTTTATTTATATTATAATTTTGAATATTGGTATTTACCTATGAAACCGCCTTACATTACAATTACATATGAAGAAATCCCTCTGCCGTCCAGATAGACTCTGAGTGGTCTGCCATATAAAACATTCCATATGTCTTTACCAGTGACTGGCTCTATTACATGTCAGTTTGGCTTCAGAAGGGCCCTGAGGCATGATCAAAGTTGAGTTTGGTAATTAGGATGGTGTACAAATGAAATAAGACAGTTACTGTATCGCATCTTATCCAACAAAGCTTGATCCACTACCAGTGGATCCAATAAAACTCCTATTTCTATCATATTTATTAACATGCTCAGTAACCATAGTTACAGTAACCAACCACTACTAACCATAGAAATCAATCACACTTTAATTTACTAACCAATAAAACAACAGTTGGAATGTTATTAGGTGATATGGTTAAAAACACTGGCCATACTAGTATCTTTAAATAAAGTACAAAATAGATTCTCCTTTTCATATACCTCTGGCAAATGTGAAGATAAAACAGATTGATTACTAGGGCATACCATACTGCTCACTTTTAACTGCCTAGGTGCAAAACATTTTCCTTCTACAAATTGTTTTTTTGTGTTCATGAACCCACTGAATGTGCCTTAGGGTTAGTTTATACCAGATTAAAGCGCATATGAAAGAATAATAAATGTAAATGAGGCTAGTTTACACCTTTGCACTGCTTTCACATGTATTTAGAAAAAATGCAGTAGGCTGCATTCTTTTAATATAGTTGTACCGGTACTTATTGTAAACCTCTGTAAATGCAACTCAGTAGAAAAGAAAATACTGCCTGAAAAATATACTGCAAATGCATATAAATGTGTGTGGAATTACACACTAAACATAAGGATTGCGGTCTAAAGAAACCCTTAGGCCTCATTTACACTGGCAGTGGGAGGGGGGGGGGGGGGGGGGGGGGGGGAGGGGGGGGGGGGGGGGGGGGGGGGGGGGGGGGGGGGGGGGGGGGGGGGGGGTAAAAATAAGCAGTTGAGTTCTGGTGTTACTGACCCCTTATGCAGCAGCTGGGAGCAGGATGTACACATGGTGCAGCAAAATTTGTACCCAGTGTTGTATTTAGGTTTTGTGCTGCCCTAGGCAACACAAAAATCGTCTGCCCCTGTGGACGCCGATCAACACCCCTGCCCCCCACTTGGGAGAGCCTTCCACTACCCCCCCCGGTGATAGAGAGAAAAACACTCATTTTCACAGCTCCAGACACCCCCGAAAACGAGAGTCAGGCTCTACATACACCATCAAGCAGCCTTTCTCAGATCCCTCCTGGTTCCCATAGCTTGCATGTCCCTTCTTTCATCCCTTCTTCTGGGGGGAGGTGCTGCCCCCCTGAAAAATGCTGCCCTAGGCAAGTGCCTTGTTTGCCTTGTTGTAAATACACCCCTGCCTGTACCCCCAGTCACATTCAGTGATGTTCAGGTGAATGGGGGCTTGCAACCACATGCAATGTGGTGTTGCACACTTTTTGGGGTTAAAACAGATGGTGAGGAGGCAACATAACACCTTCCAGCCGCCTGTCAAATGTCCTCTGAAAAGTGATCCACCATGAATCACTCTAAGGGTCAGTAAGGGCTGCTACATGTGTAAGCAAGCCCTCGGAATCTCAGAAGGTGTTCAGGAAACTTTTACTTGTATTTCCTTCTGTTCAACAAGGTTTTCTGAAAGCTTTAGACAGCTGTTTCTGTACAATCAGCATCTGCCTTGACACATTCCATGGTGAATGGATTAAGGTGGCTGAGTTCCCAGAAAGGTTATAAATGCTGGGGCATTTTCCTGACACCAGTTTTAGAAGTGGCTTGAATTAACTGCATAACGTCTTCAACATTGCAGAATAAGTTCTCTTGAGTCTGACTACTACATTACCTGGATAAATGTGAATCTTCACTATAGACATCACTTTATAAAAACTATTCCTAAACATATCAAACATGCCGAAAGTGCCAAAGCTCTATGTAATCCACAAGTGTTTTAATTACCATGCCTTTCTTTCCAATGCCTGTGTACATGTACCCAAACAGACTTCTTCAGTAGGGCAATGCAAAGAACAAAGCTGGAATGCAAAGTGCTGCAACCAATAGAAAGTATCCAGATTTCAGTCAGACCCCTGAAAGAAGAATTCTGATTAGTTGTAGGTTATTGCACTTTCTAATTTGATATTTGCCCTATTGGAGCATTCTGAAATAGTCTGCAAGTGTTTTTATGGCCTGTGCTGCACCCCTATAATCATCTATTCTTAGTAGGTGACAAGTGGAGACTGAATGAGTGACACTTCTGAGATGTCTTAATAAAATAATAAATTATTTTATTGAATTCCATTGAGTTTCCATTTTTAGAACCATTTTGGTGTATTGTGTCTGTTTATGTTTACTTTTTATATGGACATTTATAATATTTGTTTCAAGCTTGCCTTTGTAAAACAAATAAATTGCATTTCAGAGTGTAGAGCTCAATATTCCACAAGATGGTGCTGCTGTTTTCTTTATGATGATTTGCCTTCTTACAAATTTTGCATTGTGTTCTGCATTGGATGTGATTTGAGGAAGAAGAGATTTCTTTATGATGATCGGCCTTCTTCATATGTTCTGTGCTGTGTATATATTATTATTATTATTATTATTATACAGGATTTATATAGTGCCAACAGTTTGCACAGCGCTTTACAAAAAAAAAGGTAGACATTACAGTTACAATACAACTTGGTACAAGAGGAAACAGGGCTCTGCTCGCTAGAACTTACATACTTGATATTTAAGCAAGAAAAGACTATTTAAAATCTCTGTTAAATTTGGGAATAATTGTTGCACACATGATCGTTCAGTTGCTTCTAAAATTAAATTCAATTCCCCTATTTTAGGAAAAATTCCTTGTAACCATGGGTAAAAACATGTTTTCACAAAAATATACATGTACCATATTTTCCGGCGTATAAGGCGACTGGGCGTATAAGACGACCCCCTAATTTTCCAGTTAAAACATAGGTTTTGGGCTATACTCGCCGTATAAGACTACCCCCCCCTTTCCGAGGCAACACCATTTAAAAACATCAGATTTTTTTAATTGAAATGGTTATGACTTACCGGTACTCAAAATCATTCAAAATCCTCATGTTCATCCTCTGACATCATAAGTTCATGAATGACATCTTGTGATACATTTGTAAGACAGTCATCATATGGATCAAATTCCAAATCAGATGGTTACCGCTGGATGTGCGGTAATACGGTAACTTCGGCTACATACAGTATATATACAGCCCGCTGGATGTGCAGTAATGTACATACAGTATACCAAGCTGGCTCAAATGTCCCTATGACAGATTAATGTGTCAGCCCACTGGATGTGTGGTATATACAGTATACTGAGCCAAGCAGTTTCAAAACGTACCGGTACGTCCCTACGGTAATCAGACCGCTGGATGTGTGTATGTACAGTAGCTGAGGCTACATACAGTATACGCTGGGCCAGGGACGGAGTGACCATTTAGGCACTCGGGCACTGCACGAGGGCCCGGGGTCAGTAGGGGGCCCCATGAGATGCCCCTGGTACCTTTCATAGGCTTTTTTGGGTGTGCATTGAGTGTGGGCAAGGACACAGGGGCCCCATGGTTTCGTATTGCCCGGGGGCCCCATGAGTTGTCAGTCCGCCCCTGCGCTGGGCCAATCACGGCGAGCGATGTATTCTACTAATAAATACAAAGCCTGCTCGGATTGGCTGAGGTTGTGACATCATCAGCCCACCTCTTTGACTTAGCCAATCCGAGCAGGCTTTGTATTCATTAGTAGAATACATCACTCGCCGTGATTGGCCCAGTGTATACTGTATGTAGCCACAGCTACCGTACATACATGCATCCAGCGGGCTGAATACAGTAGGGATGTACCGGTACGTTTTGAAACCGCTTGGCTCAGCGCAGTATACTGTATATACCGCACATCCAGCGGCTGACAGATTAATCTGTCATAGGGACATTTGTTTTGAGCCAGCTTGGCTCAGCGCGGTATACTGTATGTACAGTATTACCACACATCCACCCAGCTTGACCCAAACAAACTCAAGGTTCACATTTTATACCCCGCGTATAAGACAACCCCCAATTTTTAGGGTATATTTTTAAGTATAAAAAGTAGTCTTATACGCCAGAAAATACTGTATGTGTTATAGTGTTTCTATATCTAGAACACCAGACCATATATGTATGAAACAAAACAATACTTGATTTAAAGCTGTATTAAACTAAAAGCAAACATCATATTGCAGCTTACCAATTCTTAGATGTGATGGCTGCATTAGTTTTCTTTGTTAGGCTTCTTTCTTTTATATTTACCTGGTGATTCAGCCAGTAAGTCTGTTGTTTTTTTAAAAGAACTAGCTCTCATGCAAATTCATAAGTTAATGGCTCATGTACACTGCAGCCGATAAACTCACATTTATTAGTTGTTTTTCTCATTAGGGAGAGTTTTTTTTTTCAGCAGCCCCTAAACTCTCCCTGTTTTCCTATGTGTCCATGTACACTATGTCATTTACAGTCGTTTACAGGCAGTTGAGTTTACAGTCGTTTTTTTGAACGCAGAAAACTTGCGTTTAGCAGTAGATTTTTATCAGCATTTCAAAAGCACTGTAAAACACGGCTAAACGCGTTTATAAGCGTTTGCGTTTGACATTTTTTTTTTACCGCTTCCATTTCCAGATGCAGTCCAGAGTCTTTTTTTCATCATGAAAAATGCATGCAAAGAATTTTCCCTGGTACTGAAATGGACCCGGTACGCAAATGGACCTAGTACACCATACTTTTAGATTTCACATGAAAGAAAATATATGTTAGACACTGCTGCAATACTTTCTGCACAGAAATGAACTGGAACACATCCAAACACCACAAAAAAAAAAAAAAAAAAAAAAAGCTAATGTCAACAAATACTGTTCTCTCTGCTTCTGCTCTCTCTATTCTCTCAAAATGGTTGAAATAGTTAATTTTTTGCTGTTTTTTGGTGCATTCTGAGCATATTGGAAGGTCTGAGGTTATCTTTAAAAAATGCTTCTAAACGCGA